GGGGGGGGGGGGGGGGAGGGGGAGGGGGCAGGCGCGCTCTAGTAGCAACATAAATTTTGTAGAAGACGTTTCACAAGATTGATATTGGTGCCAGTAACTTTTGTCCCCCCCCCCGATGATCCCTGCCCTTATCTCCACACCTGCTGGGGAGCACCACAGAAGCCAGATTCTCCGCCCCCCACGCCCTCGCGCGAAGGCAGCAACTTGGTCACGTTTTCGAAGCGTGGGAGAAGGACTGCTACCGGTACAGGAGCTTTCCACTTTCTTCCCATTTGGAGGACAAAAAGGAAGCGTGTTGCTGGGTGTGTAAGGAAGAGCCCTGAGTGACTTTGGACCAGTCCCACTGTCTCAGCCAAACTTAGCTCAGAGAATCACTATTGTAGAGAAAAAAACATCAGTGTTATCTCTAATGAGGTACACAATAACATGTTCTTACTCTCCTTAAACTCTTACAGAAAAAGATGGCATATATATGTGAGAAATATTAATAAATTCAACCAGGCCTTTAGCATCCCCCTGAAAACTAAAAAGAGTCCATAAAATGCTTGGTCAAACATAAGATTTATTAGTGTATTAGATCTGGGTTACCAAAAAAAGCCCCAATTGCCATGTTCATGTTGCATGCTGTGTCTAAATAAATAAATTAAACAAATAAAAATTATGACTTTATGACCTGATTTACACAACAGGCTAAGACAAAAAGTTGTATCCTAGACTAAGATGTTATGCAACCCCAAACAGTGCTTAATTTGAGAGGTTTATCTAGCCCTCTCAGTGCTGTATGTATAATGGCCATGGGCCCCAATTTAATATTTTTACTTCTAACAACAGAATCCCTCTCCAAAATATTGCTTTGGTTTACAGCAAGAAAGGGGAAAGTATTCTCTGTATAGAAACATTGAATTGGTAGTTATGCTTACTAAACACTCCAGAATTCAAAAGGAGGAATGTAGATGTTTCCTCTCTAATTGCATAACTATTTCCCCTTAATTTTTTTTTTACCTTTTAAGTAACAATCTAAGTTGCATGGAGAAAGTTGAAATATAAAATGAATTAAAGCTACTTCTAGACAAAGCTTTTTCTATGTTCTTGCCCTGCCTCATTGACAGAATTTTATGGCAGATCAAAACATTAGCTGAGTTTGTACAAAACTTGCTTATAAAATTTATATCATATTTTGCAGTGGTGAGCTAAAACACGCTGGATTAAGGATTCAGTGTAGTGGCAAACCCAAGCAATTGGATTCAATTAAACATGGTAGGTTAGCATGTTGTGTGCACACAGCCTCCATCTTCTACTTTAAATCCTACCAATTTTTTTGCATCTTTTCTTTTGCACCAGAAAATTATGAATAGGGAAAAACAGAATAATTGCACAAATATTCAAGGAACAACATCTCAAAAAATGTGATAGGCCAATAGAGAGAAGAATAGCATAGAACATTTCTATCATGCTAGCTTTCTATTCACAATATTTTAATCAGGGGAGCATTCAAAACCAGTATTTCCCCATCTGACATTGTATCATCCATTCCACTGTGTGTGTGTAGACCACGCTTTAGCCTTTATCTGTCACCAGGAGCTTGAGAATAGCCCATCCTCTCATCCCATCAACAATTACTCTTTTCTAATTAATAATACATAGTTCTTAATGTCCTGTTGGGAATTCCCTGAGCAAAATTTCCACATACTTCCCTCAGAAGTGTGAATAAACATTTCAGCTCAGCAGTATTTGAGAAATCCTGAACTATAATATAACCAGATCCAACCTTATTATAACTCACGACTCAGTTAAAAAGTGTAGGTAGTTGAAGATGGGGCTTCTAGTAATGAGGAAGGCATATCATTTGTATTCACAAAGTCCTGACATGTTTTTAATGGATACAACTGCTTAGAAACTTTTGCAAGTGTACTGAAATACAGTTGGAACATTTTGGCATTTTAATTACTTTAATGTGTCCACCAATGTTTTAAAACTTGACCTGTCTCTGGAGAGCACTGTTGTTGGGAATAGATAATTCCTGGTGTTGTTTGTGGCAGTAAGGCCACAGAGCTTAAGTCCAGTTTGACAGGACAGTTTTAAAATAGAAATGTTGATATAATTTTTCAATCCAGTCTGCAATTTTGTCTTGAATGCCTCTTAGCTGTATAGTATACATTCCTCCATTATAGATATGGGATAGAAAGCAAGTTTAGGTAAAAGCTCAGATGGACGTGAGAGAACATTATCTTCACTTATGAAAATAGGCTTCTCTCTGTAATGATGCTAATTCTTGATTGATTGATCACATTTATATAGCCACCCATCTCACAGTACATGACTCTGAGCAGCATACAATAAAAAACACATCATAAAAAGCTAACAATTAAAAAGCATTGTATAATTAAAAAACCAAAGTTACCAATGACAGAGTAGCAGAGCGCGCTATCATTACAGGCAATACAACCATCTCACTAATTCACCTGTCAGAGTCTGCACACCAAACCTGATGACACAACCATGTTTTAAGGGAATTCCAGAAGGATGTCAGGGATGGGGCCAGTCTCACCTCAGGGGGAGGGGAATGATGTTCCACAGGGCGGGAGCCAGGGCAGAAAAGGCCCATCTCTGAGGTCCTGGCCAGATGTAACTCCTTCACAGACATGACCCGTAGCATAGTTCCTCTGCGAGACCTTATGGGACAGGCAGATGTTTCAGGTGGAGCTGGACCCTCAAGTAACCTGGCCCCATGCCATGAAGGGCTTTAAAGGTCAAAAACAGCACCTTGAATTGAACCCAGAAGTAAACTGGCAACCAATGCAGCTGTTAAGCAGCTGTTAAGCAGAAAGCCATTGTTAGCTTGCATAGCACAGAAACTTGGAAAGTTTTGTGAATTTGAAGTTTTTCCTCATAGCAGTTATGTTTTTTTCAATGCAACTTCTATCTTGAAAGCATTTTAGAGCCTTGTGCAGATTGCAAGAGTAGAAGAATGAGAAATTGTTCAGGACCTTGTGGTAGGAGCTCCATGGTACACAATAAATAGGCCTCTTATTCTAGCTATTCAGGTTGTCTTGGAGAAACCTGGGCAGTTATTCACTGTGTAAAAAGAAGGAACTGAGAATACACCTGATGAACTGAGCTGCAGCTTATGAAAGCTTATGCCTTTAAATAAAGTGTTAGAAAAATGCAACTAGACTCCTTCTGATTTGGGGGGATGCAAGACTTGTTTTACAAAACACAACACAAATCCCAGTGTTTAGATAAGTCATCTTATTGGAGACTTGACATTTTAGGATCCTTTTTCCTCCAAGAAAAATAATACCTCCTTTTGCACTCCAGATTTGTGATGTTACTTGCTGTGTGTGAAATTATTCAACTGCAGAAAAAGATCACACGTCTCTCTAAATGAAATGAGGAGATGGTGCTGTCAGCAAGGATGCAATTTCAGGTCTCATTCACAGGGACAAGCAGATTTAAGTAAGGGAATCAGAACAGGCAGCATGATTTATGTGTTACTGTATAAGACAGAAAAAAGAAATCAGTGTTTTAGGAGCACTTGAACAATTATTTCTTTAATTTAATTAGTATCACCAGAGTGAGTATGGATTCTTACATAGCCCAAAATGGCACCTTTCATATGAAAGAGGGAGTTAGCAAACTCAGGGAATTCTATATTTTGCAGAAATGGACAAACTAAAAATCAAACATTCATTAAAACAAAATTAACCCCCTGACATGACAAAACGCTTTATCTAATGCAGCTCAGCATCTGCTATAATTTGTTACATTAAGTTGAGGCATTAAGTAGACTGATTTAGTTTTGCCTGGTGGACCAGATCACTGATAATCCAGTCATTACAGATTGCAAACCATGATTTATGTATCTTTCTGTGAAGATGCACAAACTGTAGCCCTCAAGAGTAGCAAACTAATTTTTTAAGCCAGGAAAAATTATTAAATAAGAGAATGGAGATAATTTTATTAACTGTCTTAAATTTAAACCAAAGTTCAAGTGAAATTAAACATAATTGTAAAGAAAATTAGTTGTATTCTAATCCTGCCACTGCTTCCTGGAATCCAGTCCTGGTATGCTACTTATGTGTAGCCAGTAAAAAGTGCATGCTTCTGATTTGTGATGTGTTCAGTAAATCATGGTGAACTAAATAATGGCTAGTACAAAACAGCATGGTTTGCTGACCTATAGTTTATTGAATAATCACACTTTGTTGAGTTCAAACAAAATGCAAAACTATAAACCACGCTAATGCTAGATTCACTGAATACACTAAACCAAACCATATTATTGCTAACAAGTGAAATAGTACAGTACAAGAGTAGTCCATTGCAGAGTCCTCTCTAATCCAGCATGCTTACACTGGCAAATCAAGTCACTTAGGAAGTTCAAAGATCAGAAGGACAAGTTATTTCCCCACGTTGTACCTCAGCAACAATAGTATTCAGAGGCAAGTTGTCTGCTCATGGAGACATCATCTAAACTTGGTTAATTTTTTAAATATATTTTTAAAAGATCCTTAGCAAGGAATTTATTCCCCATCCCCCTGCCAAAGCTATTGTACCATAAGGAGGCATTTTCATTTATTTATCTAATGTGACTCCTTTCTTGGTCAGACCCAACCAGTTGGAAGGGGCCATTTAGACCATCAGTGCAGAAATCTGAATTAAAGCATCCTGAATAGATGTCTGACTGTTCATTCATTCATTCATTCATTCATTCATTCATTCATTCATTCATTCATTCATTCAATTTATACCCTGCCACAATCATAAATAGACTCTCAAATGGCTCAAACACATCATGATCATAAATAATACAATGCAAACAGACCCCCAATACAGTGCCAGGCATCAATCCCAAAATGCTCTGTGGAAAAGTTGTTTTCAGCTGTTTTGGAAGGTGGATAATACCAGAGGCAATCAGTCCTTGTCTGAACGTATCAAGCAAAGGAGATCCCACTACCTTCCTCAGATATTGGTTCCAATATCTAACTATTAGGAAGCATTTTTCTACATACAACCAGGCTCCAACTTCCTATGCTCTTGAAAAATAGTCATATCCCCTACACTTTTTTCAAGGCTTAAATGCCTAGTTCCTTTTCTCTCTCACTAGATTAATTTTCAGCTCTCTGACCAACTTCACTTCTTTTTCACAGCTGAATATTTCTCAATAATGCAATGCCCAGAGCTAAGCACAATATTCTAAGCCTGTTTACTGCCCAACAGAATGGAATTATTACTTCCTTTGTTTTTATAAAATATTTTGTTTTTATTTTGCTTAAATCTCTAGAAATTGTCTATTTTAGACTTTTTCCATTAGTTTTTTCCTGTCAAAACTCTAAAATACTTTTTCTGGAATGTGCAACTTCAGGATTAGGAAATAAACATAATCCTATTGGTTGACCTTATATTGGTTAGTTTCACTTCATTCTTCTTGTACTGAAATTGAGATAGAAATTAAGTGACAGGAGCCTTCTTTTTATAGCATTTAAGAATGCCCTGACCACAACTGAAATTAAAGGATGAGACTGAGAAAATCTTAAAATTCCTAAATCTGCTAGGAACTTTTGTGCTGAAAACACATCCATGAAGAATTTTAATAATGACATGAACAAAAGGCATAGAGAAATAAAATGTTTATTGAATTAGTGTTTAGTGTTACACAACTATAATACAGCACATAATGAATTGCATTTTTAAAAAATAAAGTTTAGGGGCCAGCGTAGCATCTAGAGAATTCTACCTGAACTGGGGGAAAATCTGCATTTCAGTCTGAGAGCTGACCTTACCAATTTATTGAGGAGCAATATCAATATCAATTTATTGATATTAATATTAAAATATTGAGGAGCAATATCAAGGCAAATCAGGATCACAACAGAAAAATGAAACAGAATGTTATCTTACAGATTCCTGATCCATTATGAACTCTTAGGATAAAAAACTAACTTTTATATTTTTACTATTTTATTCAGGTTCAGAGAAGGCCAGAAGCTGGTAATAGCAAACCTGCCACTGATAGAATAGCTTTCAGAAAAATGTTCCATAATTAGGGAAGAATATACATACCACTATTTTAGCTTGGCATGCTATGTGAAATGCCAGTATTATAGTAAATTAAGAGGTCCACAAGCATCAGCTTGGCTTATCTGCTGAGCATCAATTTGTGTCATTAACAGTTTTACCACCATTGTAAACAAAAAACCCCTTCCCTGAATTGCAGAAAGTATTGATGGGAGAGAACTAGGCTTAAGACCTACTGTTTCTATACATCCGCAAAATGTTCTACAGAACAGCTGATACTTCCAAAGTTTCCTGCAAATGAGGGAAACCCTCCACCTCCCTCCTGAGTCACTCTTCCCACATCAAGTGTCATTTGCCCACTGTGTGTCCAAGATGGAAGGCACTTATAACAATGGCATTCTCTATGGGACAACTGCTTGTTGTCACACCGTTAAAAAATGACTAACTTAAAATCTTTTTGATAATGTTTTTTGTGGTAAAGGTTACAGCAATAACCAATGTGATATCTGTGGCAAAACTATACAGATTACCTTCATTGTGAAAGGTGAGCCTTAGTGAAACAGACACTCAAACACAAAACAGGAGTTCAAATATATGAAAAGAAAGAGTATGTACCTATTAATATAGCCTTCAGACAGTATTACTCCAGTAATAATGTCAGCTTAGACATTATAAAAAGATCTACCATACTCCTGTAGCATCACAAGAAAAAGGCAGATTGTGGAACAATACTTTCTGTCAGTAGAAAATCAGAACAATTTAAAAAAGATTATTGTCTTCGAAGTCTCTAGGCAGCTAAGATGTCTGCCTGTCTTTGAACATCTCAACTGCAATTTCCTTTGTCACAGGGAACAACAAAACCCATTTCTAATTATTTTTACTCAGCCAAAAGTCCCATTTATTTAACTGGAACTCTCAAGTATGCTGAGGAAGATGATCTACATTTGTTAATATTTCCAAATGGAAATATTTCTGTAGTCTGTTGGAGGATTTCCCTTTGCCACAAGGCAATTTTGTCAAGATTGTCATGACTAAATAAGGATAAGAGATTTTTGCATGCAGCCCAGAGCTGTGCACTCAGAACAGGGGAACAAGTTAGTAGCCTAACATCCAGACTCTACATTAAGAAATTCTGACATTTGATGCTGCATATTGTACAATGCGACTGCTCTCTAGTGTTCTTAACTCTTCATGCAAATTGAAATCTCCAAGCAAGGTATTTAAACAGCTATAAGTGACTGGCATTCACAAGCAACATCCAAAGTGACTTATAATTTTAAAATACAAAGCTTACCAGACTAAACAGTTTTGCAAGCATTTTAATTAGTACAGCCAATAGATTAACTTATTTGTGGTGATTTAGCAAAAGATTTGCAATGAAGGCCAAATATACCTACTATGAAGTTTTCAAATGTATGTTTAATTTTAGGTAATAGGGACATATCTATACTACAAGCTTAATCCACTTTAATTGTGATTAAAGAGAATGCTGAGAGATCTAAGATCGGAAAAACTACAATTCCCAATTAAACAATTTTAAATTTTCCACACAAATGTGTCCACGCTTGAAGCTAGATAATGTTATTGTATATTTCTTAATTAGTTCCTCTGCTAATAGTTTTGGGGAAGGGAGTTTAGAGCCCTGCAGCTTTGGAATGTCAAAAGATTTCCAGCAGATAAAAAGCTTTCTGAAGCAACTATTTCACCATAAAAAACCAGCTGGTACAAATAATGTATCTTTAAGGCAGGCAAGTGGCATTATTGGACTGTTAATGTCTGTGACTTTGTTGGACAAGACTACATTAGTCTTAATTTGATATCAAGATAGTTACTTCAGCACACAAGTTTAACCCCCACCCCATTCCCACTATATAATAAAAAGTAGTATTAGGAGGGCAAAGATAAGTTAGGAAAACCTGCGCACATCCATGCAATTGAAACACTTACCCCAGTATCTCAGACATGAATTAGGCTTCCTGCTAAATTGGAAAACAGTATTGGTCAGTCTGTAACATTCTTTTCTTTAAATTAAAAAAAGTGCTTTCTAAAATTTAAGATGCTACTATTTACCATTCAAACACCACCATTAATAATATTGCCCAATACAGATTTCTCCCATACTGATTTCTTCTCCTTGTCTCATCTTAGTGCTCTCAGGGATAAATCTGGACTAGTTAAAAGAGAAGAAAAAGTAAGAGATATGAGAAAAGTAGATCTAGATAAAGTTAACCATTTGAGATCCTTCTCAGAAAATATCTATATATTAGAAAGCCAGTTTTTTCTGAGGATTCTACTTGCACAGCATCTGATGACCACATGCATCAGGTCTTGATTTTTCCTGAGACTTCTTTAGACATTGCTATCACTACATCTTTATTTACTGCCATTTCTGACACAAGGCGAGAAGGGGAGATGAAGAGGTACTCTACCTAGGCAAAGATGGTTTCATTAGATGGTTGCTGGAGTAATTTATTTCAATCATTTATAGAGGCAGGGTACTGTGAATATATTTAGGTTCTTAGGAAAGGAAGTAGGAGATAAGTAATAATGATGCCAAAGAAATTTTCATTACAAAACTGCCTCAGGAAATCAAGTAATGTATTTGACACCTTGGGACATATATCTGTAATGCAACAGAATTTATAAAGGTAAAATGAAATATTCTGTTGCACCAACAAGTTTACATTAAATATTGCATAAATGCTTTACAAGAGTTTGCCTGCCTGAAGAACTCTGTAACTTTCTAAAACTGAAAAAGTCCTTGGTCCAATAAAAATACATTTGTATCATCTGAACATATTCTGTATCTTCCATAAAACTATCAGAACTTTAAATAAAATAGGAATCTGCTTGCTACCAGGAGAGTGGAGAGAAAGCAGCAAATAATTTATATTAAGCTCAAGTTATCCTGGGTGAGAATAAATGTTACATGCTGCCAAAAGACAATTAAGACATGGGGGATGTGGATTCTTACTGTCAAGAATAATTGTTCAGGCAAACTTTCCACTCCAACTGAAGACTCAAGTACTCAGTACTGTCCACACAAGGAATGGTGTATCATGAAGACAAAGAGATTTGATTGTCAAAGACAGATCAGATGGTAGTTAGACTTACTTGCCCAAATATTGACACCCAGAGTTCATACAGCTTTATCCCTGCCATGATGAATTCACAATTCCTTCAATTATGAATTAGGATCTTTTTGGTCTTTTCATTCATTCCTTTAAGGCCACAATTTTGAACCATTTAAATAAAATTAATGGGAAATCAATGGGACTACTACAAAATAGAAGGGTCATCACTGAAAATTACACTGAAGCCCTTAAAGTAACAACTCAGAAATCTTTCATTATATGACTGAGAATGATCCAACAAGTAAAATCTATTTTTACTAATACTCTTTTAGCAACCTCAAATACTTTTAGATAAATACAACTATAAAATATTTATAAGCATGGAACATTTTGAAGTTCTTAGAAAGATTGTGCTTTACTCCTCTTATAAAGGGTTTTTTTTTAAACTATTGCACATGTCTCCAAGTTTGAAAGAAATAAGCAGATTCACAGCAATTTCATATTAAAAAGAGGAAATACTTCTGCAAAAGCAAATAAAAATGTCTTAAGAAAACCTTGAAATGATGCTTTATATATACATCAGCATTTTAAAACAAGTTGAAATACTTCACATGGCCTATATAATGTTTAAAATGGAATGAGATGCTCCAATACACAAAAAGCAGGTCTAATACAAAAACTGTTAAGGAAAAAGAGAGGCTGTGCTGAATCTTTATACTACCTGAACACATCTACAAAGTGCAAGGACAATTCTTTTGTTGGATTCTTTATCCGCATCTCATCCATGGAGAAACCAACAGGATCTAGGGATTTTATAAATCTGCCCATCTTCATATTTATGGCTAGTATAAACCAAATTTTCTTGCAATGCTTGTAATCCTGGCAAAATATTTAACACCAAGAAAGCTTTATCTCCAATGCTTAAGCAGTTTAGGTGACTATTAGACCATGCTAGGAATGGCAATTACAGACAGGTATTTCTGATTCCATTTATTCAAGCTAGCATTCTATCTGAGACCGAGGCATCCTCCGCAAACTTAAGGAATGTCGGTGTATCTCCTGCATTTGCCTGATTCGGTCCTTCTGCCACATTAGGTTTTGCGGCATTGGATATTTCTGGGTACCGTGTAAGGACCGAAAGGGGATTCTCACGTGACAGGCTGTAGCACGGCACCTAGGCTGGGGCATAGGAGGGAGTAACAGCCAACGCTTCTTCTCAGCACAATAGCGGTAAGCCTCTTTTCTGTACTGTTTATCAGTGTCATCACTGTTCTTCCATCCACCTATGATGAAGACATCATCTTTGTAATAGCAGATAGCTGCCCCTTCAATGCTAAGAACCTCTGGCGGTAAACTTTCCAGAATGTCATCAGATACCTGGTTAGATATTTTTCTCTTGACCTCTTCATGGTCTACAGGATAGCTTCTGGGACAACATGAAGCTGTGTGGTAAAAGTTGGTGTTGCCCACAACCATTTGGAAGCAACAATAGTTGTCAAGCAGTGGCAGAGATTCACAATCTCGCCACTGTCGTGACTCTGCATCATAGCGAATAATAACAGATCTTAAGCCATCTTCATTATCTCCATCAACTGGTGTGCGAGCTGCCATGTAAACAAATCTGTTATCTATTGTAATCACTTTAACATCCCGGAGTATCTTTGGTGCAGACTCCAAGTTGTGCCACTTATCTTGATCAGGATTGTAGACAGCTACATCTTTAAAACCAGGGATAAAATTCCCATGCCCACCAATGCTATACAGGTTTCCCTTTACCTCAGTAAGGCCAAAAGAATGCTTCCTGGTTATCAGATTGGAAACCTGCTCCCAAACATTTCGACTTGGGTTATACCTTTCCATGGTCTTGGCAAAGCCAGGCTCCATGGAACCTGCCACATAAAGATAGGATTCGGTTACTACCACAGCATGTCCATCAAGATGATTATGTATGTGCGGTAAATTCACCCATCTATCTTCATCAATAAAATACCCCACACACTCACTCAAATAATCACCTCCCTCAGACACACCACCAATGACCATGATAACATCCATGTTTTGTCCAAAGCGAGGCAGAGTTGAGATGGGAGAGTTAACTTGTTGGAGTGTACCCAACTGAAAATTCTCACCCTTGAGAGCATGGCTTTCCACTGCTTCCAACACAAGTTTGAGGCAAGCTTCATTGCTTGATACAAGCCTTTCAGATTTTACATGCCGAGTCAAATAAGTTGGTTTAATTTGTGATAGCCGGAGAAGCTTAAAGAGCTCTCCAAAGTACTTTTCTCTTTCTTCAGGATTTCTCTGCACCCACTTTAAAACCATCTCAAAGAGAACTTCTTCTGAATCCACCGTGATTTCTGAATCTGAAAGCCAGTCTCTAATAAGGTGAAATGGCAAAGTATAGAACTCTTCATCTTGGATGACTTTGTAGAAGTTCCTCCTGATCATCTCAGCAGCTTTTAAAGCCAGCTGGTTCAAAGAGTACATATGAGCTAAGCTATGAATGGCTACAGAGTTGGAGAGACTCAGCTTTTTCTTGAGGAATTCCCCACAGAACTCTTTTAAACGTATTAGTAAGAACCTGCAAAACAAGAAGGCAACTTAGAAATGGATTGGGAGAATTATTAGATAGCTAATAACTTGTATTTTGCTTTCTACTGTGCATACATTGAAAAGTATCAAATACCATTATCTTTTTCAAAAGTTGTTATAGCTGAAGATGTCTTTAATTGTCCGACAATGCCCTTAATGTTACAACTCAAGTAACTCAGAATCCGCACTGGAGAGAAAGATTGCCGTGAGAATTTTCACCTGCATGATGATGTGCAATGCTACATCTCATCTCTCTGTTTCTGAGTGTATTTCTTCACTTCATTCAGTTCTATAATAGCATACTGATCTGCCTTACAGCAAGCCAGACTGCTAGTTTATCTGGCAAATTGCAGTCTACTCCAACTAAAATGACTGCTAGTCTATACTGGAAGCAAAGATTAATTTTCACAATTCCCAGGGAAGGAGGAACAGAATGACAATCTTTGGTAGCCTTCATTAAGAGCTGCCTCCAGATTAATTAAGATAGCTTCACCCATCAGAACTCTGGAAAACTTTTCTGCCAAGATATATCATAAGGGTATCTCGGGGTGTTATTATCTGACACTTGGTTCCTCCTTCCCGCCTCACCTGTCGGCCAGCTCTAGAACCTCGTGCACGTTGCCAGGACTGACACGAACACTCCCCGTGTACATGAAGCTGATGACCGCCTCGACCGTCTCCGGGTCTGGTCCCGCTTCCGAACTCCATTTTCGTAACTCTACGCGACCCGAGCGGGACTCCGCAAAGTCACCCGAGAGCAGAGGAGCGAAGTATTCGGTGGCTGCTGCAAGAACTGACCGGTGCGCGCGGAACTCTCGCGGCGGGGGATCGGAGCGGCAAGAGACCCCGCCCACCTTCCTCTCCTCACCGTTGCTGCCGCCACCGAAGGCTAACGTGACGTCACAGAAGAGGCCTAACCGTCGTTGTTCGTTCTGCCGGCAGGCCAGGTCGGAGCAATGGGCCACACAGGAAAACACCTCCGAGTCAGGCTCTGAGTCTGGCCCCGCCTCACCCTCCAGGCCCAGGAGGTTGCCATCTGGGCCGCCGTGGCCTCCCGCGTCCAAATCGCCGCCGCCTCCAGCAGCCGCCATCTTGGCTTTCCTTCAATCAATTCGAATAGTGTTTCCCGTTGCTGCCTCCAATTACGTCACTTACGCGATCATAGAGATATGACTGTATTAAACTTCCGGTACTAAGAGTCACCGCTTGCCGTCATAAATATAAGAATTATGGAAATAAAATTCACACGAGTTATCTTTGCAAAACTGGCTTCTTGTTTATTTTTATCCCCGTTTTCTTTTCGAGCTTGCAGGACAAAAAGCAAAGCTGTTTATTGGAAACATTGGAGAAATCCAAGCTAGTTAAATAAGTTGCGTTTAAACGTAAGCGTATGCTGCTGCTTTTGTTGTTTAAAATTCAGTCCTAACTTCGTAGGATTTATCGTTGTGTAAACCGAAATATAGCCATAAATATTGCATATTGTGAATAGTTAGTATGCCACGAGTCTAAAAACAGTGGGCGTGTTCATCTAGACAGAAAGCCTATGAGGCCAATAAAATATTAGCCACAATGGGTGTCTCTAATGAGGGGTTTTACCAAAGAAACACCTTAAGCTGTATACACACATAGATAACCCATATTAGAAAAATCAACGTGTTCACATTCTTTATCAAATTAGGGCTCAAAGTATCCTGCATGTCTGTCAGAATACTGTACATATTTTATAGGTGGTGAGATGTGGGCAAGGTAATCTCTAGATTCAGGATCCTAGCTTGAATGGTAGCACAAGCAGGTTTGGAATAAAACTGGGTTTTGGTTGCACTTGTAACATACTGGCCAGTGGAAACACTGTCCTTACTGTTAAGTAAGGAATCCTGCATTTGGCTCAGGTGTGTCTAGGGCTGGTAACATAGTCTATCTCTTCATCTTATTAAAAATACATGAAAGCCTCAGTTGACAAAAGCCATGATAGACAGTTGAGGTCAATATTTATGCCTGACCTGGTGATTATCCCAGGAAGAAATTATTCTATTAGATGACATGAACAGATAAGTGAGATGAGTACAGAAAAGGTGACTTGGCTATTTACAGACCCCAAAATATAAGAGAATAGTGATTCTTTGGTGTGAAGTCCTGTTTTGGTTTAAGCATGTCTATTCATACATACATGTGGCAAAGGACTAAACTTGAAAGCATAACGGATCTGATTGTATATGGTGAAAATCTGAATTAGTGAAGGATACAGGAGTGATAAGAGATTCTGAACGTGAGACAGACTGTTTGTGGTGTCAAGAGTGAATCTTGGGAAAAATGGACGTGAAAGAAAAGAAACTAAACTGAAAGTAGAATGGCTGCAGGAAACGAAAGTGTATGTATGAAAAAGTATTAGAACATAGATTAATCTCTTAGCCAAACAAATGGAAAGTCACATAAGAAAGAAGGATGTGGAGCTGTTAGGAACAGAATGAAACAAATTATGTTACAGAATATATGCAATTATGTCAATAGAAAGTATTAAAAAGATGGCTGGAGGAATGAAGTGAAAGAAGTTGTGGATGAGGAAAGATGTATACAAGGAATGACTGCTGCAAAAACTGAGGATGAAAGAAAGATGCCATATAACCTTTATAAAAAGGTAATTGCAAAGGATATAGTCAAAGAGCAATAGATCTTTTAAGATTAAAAGATGCAGAAAAAAATGAATTATGATGGAAATAAATTGTTTTGGAAATAAAAAGAGCTAGGAACCTTCAGCACAGTGAATACCATTTCAAATGAAAGTAATAAAATGATTAGGAATGAAATAGAAGTGAGTCAATGCTGGAATATTTTAGAGATTTTATAAAAAGAGATAAGATTGAGAATGAATGGGTGCCAACTGAATTGAATAGACTGAATATAAAAATGAGTGAACATTACAAAAGAAATGTGCTGAGTTTGCTTGTTCACAGAGAATGAGGGGGCTGACTCACAAAACAAATATATAAAGGAAAAATAAATGGGTCAAGAGGAAGGAGACCACCAAGAAAATTGTGGCTGATTCTTCAGAAGACTGTGTGGTGAGGCTGGGCAGTGATCCCTTGGCTGACAGACAAGCATTATTTAACTTTGGTGCCTCCACTGTAAATGCTTATAATTCTGTTCATGTTTACAATATAGTCCCAAAATATTAACATCTACATAAGCCCTGTTCAAGCATTTCAAAGGTGTAGGGACAGATGGAAAATGGCCATGGTGATGGAATGGTGATTTTAAGGTTAGTTTGAAGAAGACAGCAGAATATTATGCATGGCCCCAGAATTGACCTTCACTAGTTACTGGGAACAACTCAGATAGAGAACAAAGTAGATTAAATAGGCTGCAGCTGCAGACTTTGTAAACATTCTTTTCCCTTTGAATTACAAACTTTATTAGCTACAGCCAAGCGGAAGCAGAGGCACAGCAAAGGCAGTAAAAGCCCTCCCACAGAGAACAGAAGGCACCATTTTCTAACCTACGTAGATAAGGGACTGGCTAGCTTTGATCATATTGCCTTTAGCAACAACAAATGCCCACTCTTTGGGCATTAGTACCCATCTTCTTAGGAGTGTTTTAACTGTGTATACCAATACAATTGTATTAACCTATGATTGTAGCTGTTTAAAACCCAATGATTTGCATGGAGGGTTGTGCTTGCCTTGAAAATGAATTTGCAGGTGCCCTCTACTCTGCAAAATAAAGCTATTAAAGAGATTTCCACATTGCATGTTTAACTGGGCATGGCACGCCAGGTTCACAAACCCAGAAGTTTCCTGGGACAACAATGGCTCCAGCCCATTGCTTGTGCCCCTCAGAACATCTCCTTACTGAAATTGCCCTTATTATTAATTAAGCAGAGCAAGGCCTGGAATACAACTCTGTACTTTCCCCTCATGAAAATATTGAGAGGAAAACAACTGACTTCAAAATTAATTTACTCCCCTGCTAAGTCTTTTGCTTCACCAGTTTTACACTGAGTAATTTGATAATGCTATATTAATAGCAAATTAATTATATCCCTGCACACAAGAGGAAGGAAGAAGCAGACTTGAGAGAATCCTAAGACAGCAAAAACAGTAACAAACAGTAACACCTTTAAAAAAACCTTGCAGGAAATCCAGAAAAATGCCCAGTGATACAGGGTACAGAATGTTGATGAATGTACAAAATAGAAACAAACAGAAAAACAGAGAATCCTGAAAGAGGGCATGACTGGTACATCTCACATTAGTGTGTTTGGTTACAATTCCTCTTATTCTCTAAAAAATGTGTTATAATTTATAATCCTGCAACAATCATCCTCCAGGGATTGTTGGAAATATTTAGCAATATAACTGCATCTTCTTTAATTACTCATTTGTATCTCCAATAGGATTTCGCTTATTTGTCCTCAGCATCTTCTCCAAAGATCTGGAATTGCCATATCTCATTTTAATTCTCTCGCTTTTTCTCTCTCTGTGTGTATTTGAGTGAGAGAGAAAGAGAGAGAGAGAAGACATTTCATAAAATTTCTTCTAATAATGGATGAAATGACTATTATTCACATAAGATGAATGGGTCCCATGTGTTCACACTCTTCTATAAGAACTCTTCCACAGGTTGCAAACACCAGGCAGGTTCAAAATCACTGATCTATGTTAAAATAACAAGCAAATTTTCACTTCCTCCCCTTAACACTTTTTTTCCTATCAGCCCAAATTTAGCTAACCACAAACTCTAGCAAAGATGACTTATTATTGTACTTTTTATTTGAGTCAGATTATAATACATAAACAAAGCACTGAATATTGTTGTGAATACATTAGAGATCCAGAGATGAAGTGTCTTATGCACACAGATATATTTAGAGGGCACCCTCTACAAAAATGGTAGGTCTTTTGTTTGTGATAAGTAAAAATATTAGCTGCATAAATACAGAAAATGGAATGCACACAAATTTCACAAATTTGAACACGAGCTTATGTTACCAGTTTTACATTTTTTAAATACTATACCAGATTTGTAAAGGCTTATCAAATCAGGTGTAGTCCCTCTGACCAGAAATAAAAGCTAATGATTAACATAAAAATACAGGACATAGAGTGGACAAATTTAGCACAAAATTATACAGCTTGTAAGGACAGTTTTTAAGATTTTGATCATACGGGTACACTGACTCTGGCTCTTCAAGTCTAATGAGGTCACAGATTAAAATAAAAACATTAAAATTTGGCCAGAATTTACTGAATTGAGGGGATGAGGACAAAATAAACACACATTAAGGAACAAGCAAAGACAGTGCAACTTCTTTAATATATTAAATACAACAGGAAATAGCAAAAGGTTTTGGTTTATCATTATTTATGGAATCCACATCTAAGCCTAGAAAAGGCTGCCTTATATAGAATTTCAACCCAGTCTGTTTCTTATACTTGACAACTAGGCCATATAATGTAGTCATGTTTGTTGGTCTTCCATAAAAGCAATTTGCTTTGCTCTCTTCAGTTGTCACATAGTCATATGCTCCGGTAAGACATAAGAGATATCGTCCCAAGGATGACGATACAGACCTTGTTTCAATCTCTTCTGGTCCAGATAATGTCCTAAAATAAAAGGCTTTTTGTTTAATATTTCTCTTTGGATGTAGCCTTTAAAAAGACTTATGTGGTAGAAACTTAACTTCATTCTGCTAATTCTAAACACCTAGTAGCCAAATCTCAGAGTACTTATACAGATACAGGACAAAGTACAAATCAGAAGACTTGTGGTCTTTAATAAAGATACAGTAGCCCAGGTTTGTCTCATAGTTTAAGGAAGAGACAAGCAACCCTTCAGTTCCTGAAACCCTTAAAATAATCCTGCTGCTCTGAAATAAGTAACAGGCAAAATTAATGTGATAAGTCTCCTTAGACTTATAGAACACATGGTTCTACTGCCCCCCCCTGAAAACAAGATTAGGAAGGGGGGGTCAACATTGTGTTTTTGCAACCTTCAGTGCTATGTTCATTACATCACTGCTTTGCTCCCTATAGCTGAGATTTTTGGGGGGGAGTGGGGGGGAACTGCTCATCCAGAAACAGCCTTTCTGTATGAACCAAAGTGC